ATAGAAAGTCTCAGCACTCAGGAACTGAACGTTCATTCTTGGAAATACAATACGTTATTGGAGAAAGGAGCTTTACTGGATGCTGGAGAATCTGTGCGGGAAAAGAGCTTTAGACCTAGACTCGGGCGGCTCTGCTCAGTGGATAATACAGCGTTAAGCGATGTTTAAGAAGACTGCATTGCACCGACATTAAGAAGAAAGTGATTAAGGGAATGTTAAAGCAAGGAGTAAATTTACATTCTTGATATTTTTGGAAAGAAAAACTGTGAATAATAAAACCACGATGTGCGAAGTTAAGGCCTTATAGAAATCACAGGGTTATTGGAGCCAGTCACAAGAAACATAATAATAATGTATATAATTAATGATTAATAAACGTGAAAATATCGGTGTTCCTTGGCTGTAAGTTCTCAGGGTGATAAGACACAAGGAAAGACAATCAATTATAAAAATTTCGAAAAGTACAGTCGAAGTACACTCGATGTAGGAGTATAGCTTTTTGATGCGATGGAGGTGGCAAGGACCTCCGAAACGTCGGTTAACTTCTACAAGACTACACAGCGCAACACCCCAGAAGACAGTCAACTTCCTGCGTTACTACCAATTTAAGTATAGTTATAATTCTGGAGCAGGAACACAGTATTTATTTATTTATTTCTGATATTTCTTATTGTGATTTAATTTTTTAATATTATATTCTTTTGATGCTCGACAAGAAGAGCTTAAGGAAATGTAAACTGTTTACTTAAGCCCTTCTTAATGGATACCAGAAGTACAGCGTCAAATGTCACAATTACAAATGAAAATTTAAGCGAAAAATATGTGTAAGGAAACGGTCGTGACCTAATTTAAGTGAATCTCCCGATATGTACCCGTAGAGACTGAGTAAAACCACAAATAACCTCAGATAGGATAGAGCGGCCGTGGACTGATATTTGAACCACGAATCTCCTGAACAGGAAGCAGGGATGCTAATGATCACATTATTTGGTGAATGGGTATAGAATATTTTATTTAGTGTTCTGTCTGACGACAGGTCCATATGAACAGGATCCTTCCATCCTTTTCTCGGACTGGGACCTGTTCATATACGTTCTTGGCAGATGATCCAGAAGTGGTTTGCCATTGCCTTCTTCTGTGTGTGAATGGAGTAATTGTTGGCATGCCACGGAGGAAAACTCCGTGTTGCCTAGACCACGGCCTTGCTCAACACAAGTTATAAATTCGGGCACCGCCGGGAATCGAACCCGAGACCCCAGGATTACAAGGCCAGCGTTCTAACCGCTAGACCACCGTATAGAATAAGGATGATAAAACGGAGGAGGGAGACAGGACAAAGACAAAGCAGGAGGAGAAGAGGAAATATGAGTATAATTTTTAAGTTATTCACATCTAAAACTTTGTGTATGTTCCACGAAAGTGTTACTCCTTTGAGACTAACTTGTTCTTGACGGTTCTGTTTACGGAGAGTAGAAATGTCAGGCTGTGAGGAAAGAGGTAGGTTGCATCAAGGGTTCTGATGGTTCCTTATATCTTGGTTTTGCTGAGCGAAATGTCGTAATCCTTGTATCTTACTGGTAATAAAAACTGGGACTTGCTTAAATATCAGCTGTATATAAGGAGATATGACACACTGAGAAGATAAATATTGGAAGGCTTGGAGCTTCTATACTGTTACCGCGTTTGCTGTTCCTACGGCGTAACCCCCCAGAGGGACCTGACAGTCCCCGAGATGGGAAAAAACGTCACGCTGCAGGCAAGGAAAGTGTAACGAAGTTGAAGAGCTCCCGAGACATAACTTGTCAATTCTATTAGTGTCCTGAGTAAGAAGAAGAAATATTAGTGTTGTCACTGTGGCCGTACACTCAACCTAAAAATCTTGCGAACGATTACACAGGCTTTGATAAATCCTCAATCATCAATGTCACTGGAGTCTCAAAACTATTTCTGTACAACGAACTTTATTTTCTTATTCTCTTCATTATTTCATTCTGTTTTTGTTTCTTGTTCCCTTTATTGATTTCCGTCTTCTCTGTGCACCTGAGATCCGTCTTAATGTTATCACCAATCTTTTTTTTTCCCCGCTCTCAATTAATCGCTGTATAAGAGGCTTAAGATGGAAGGATCCTGTTCATATGGACCTGTCGTCAGACAGAACACTAAATAATGATAAGATGAGGTGGTCTAGCGGTTAGAACGCTGGCCTTGTAATCCTGGGGGTCTCGGGTTCGATTCCCGGCGGTGCCCGAATTTATAACTTGGGTGGGGCAAGGCCGTGGTCTAGGCAACACGGAGTTTTCCTCCGTGGCATCCCAACAATTACTCCATTCACACACAGAAGAAGGCAATGGCAAACCACTTCTGGATCATCTGCCAAGAACGTATATGAACAGGTCCCAGTCCGAGAAAAGGAAGGAAGGATCCTGTTCATATGGACCTATCGTCAGACAGAACACTAAATAATAATAAGATGAGGTGTTCTAGCGGTTAGAACGCTGGCCTTGTAATTCTGATGTCTCGGGTTCGATTCCCGGCGGTGCCCGCATTTATAACTTGTGTTGGGCAAGGCCTTGGTCTAGGCAACACGGAGTTTTCCTCCGGGGGCTTCCCCGGTTTCTCCGTGGCATCCCCACCATTACTCCATTCACACACAGAAGAAGGCAATGGCAAACCACTTCTGGATCATCTGCCAAGAACGTATATGAACAGGTCCCAGTCCGAGAAAAGGATGGAAGGATCCTGTTCTTATGGACCTGTCGTCAGACAGAACACTAAATAAATAAATAAGAGGCTTCCCACGAAAATTTTGCTCACATTTCTATTCTCCCCATCTGCGCTTTATGAACTCCCTACATTCATTATTTGTGATACTACTAGAATAGCTGTGTAAACCTCGAAAGTAAGAATGACAAAGCAATCGGGACATGCCATACAATAGGCTACAGTTAAGCTACATTAAATATAACCAACCACAAATGAAGCATCTTGCTATTTATAGCGATCATATTTGCGTCTGAATCGTAAAGAACGCCTATAAACAGACGCTCGCTTTTTGTTTGTAGCGACTGGTTACGGCATTGTTATGACTTACAGCGACGTCGCTACATTAACCCTGTAAAGCACAGTGGTTATTATATGTACCACCTTATTTAAAGTTCGGTAACTGTACATTTTTGCCCGCACAGTGTACCTGTGTGATTTTCCTACGATTCTCAGAATAAACAGAGATTGTTTCCGTAAACCACTTAAATGTTTATAAAGGAGAAACGTTCTGTTTTCTTTGAGGTTGAAATTTAATGATTAAACGTCAGATGAACCTAGGGCTTCATGCGGTAAATATTATACCTATTTTCTATTCTATTTTTTAAATATGTTATTATTTCTTTTTATAAATATGCATATTTACTTTCTTTCGCCTTGATGTATCCAGAGTTTTATTTCGTGTTCCTTCAGTTCTGTCTCTGTTGACTCGCAATTTGCTCACATCTGATACGTTTTAAGACGTTTCCAGCCGCCATGCATGGCCGAATGTCTTCCCGGGTTCTTGCCTCGCGACTCATACACCTGAGCGCGCAAAGCCGTTTATCTGAGCACCGCCACTCTCGAGGGATTTCCCCCGTCTCAGAGTGTTAAGCTCGCAGCGTGAATTGGTCTCCACCTAACAGCCAAGAATCAAATTATATTATTCCATGTTTATTTACTTTGTCTCCAGCATCGCCACTTAGTCTTTACAAAATAAATATTGAACTTACAGAAATTTCATCATTGAAATTTTTGTGTTGACAGTACGAGCTTCATTGGGTTTCGAGGGGTTACAATTTATAAAATTCATCGCCTTGATGATGGAGGCGGAAAGCACCTCTGAAACGTCGGTAAACTTCTACCGGACGACACAGCGCTATAACCCAGAAGACATCCATGTTTTTTTTACATTTCCAATTTTGAAACTCGATGTACTGTGGTCTTTTTACTATCTCTTGTTTTTGTTGGTGATACCAGCATGAAAGACGGTGACCGATTTTGGTGAAATTTCGTATGAACATCACGACATTGAGAAACGTAATAACTGAGTAGTTCTTTACTCCATTTGATCAATAATAGCATGGCGGTAGTACGACGTGTTCTTAGAAGAGTTTAAAGTTCATCTACTCAAGAAATTCTGGGCCCCTTCTGTAAAACGAAGGTCCATTATTTCGTTTACAAATGCCGGGGTTTGGACCTTATTCTGAGGTGCTTTAATCTCTTTCTCTTATTTATGTATTTATTTCATCCTACCGTGTTCTATCTTGTCATTTTATTGTCTTTCTCCTATTTCTGCTCGAGACAGGAACTCGCTAACACCCACATATGAAGAACTGTTTTTACAACATTTTTATTTTACCTTTCCTGTCCTATTCTGTCACTTTCTTTCCCACCATTTACCTCTCTGCTTCGAGCTTATCGCCTTTGTCTCTTTCATCCGACCTCTGTCTGCCACGACATATTTAGAAATGTCTTTCCTCTGTCTCCTTCTAGGATTTCTGATCTCACCCCGACCTCTGTCCTCCACAAGTTCCTCTCTTTTATCGCAATTTATCCCTTCGTCCCAGCACAGAGACCGCTTCCATATCAAAAACACACTCAGATCGAACACGATCAATCAGCTTTCTTTAGAAATTTCAATTTAGATCGACAACGATGAGAAAATCACGCGGTCAACCATGACGCTGAAAGACGGCAGGTGCGACGTTTGTGTTGCTAGTGGCAACTGTTGGACACTTCTAATAATCAGGTGTTTAGTCCTTTTGTATTTAAATTTTTTTTTTATATACAGTGTGTTCTCATTTGCAATGTGATCGAGTGCGGTAGAGCGGACGGCACTGCTAGTGGTTACGCGGCATGTAAGCAGTCCGCTGCACGGTACTCAGCCTCCCCACAAAAAACGAACGCCCTGTATATCTTCGTGATTTCACGCTGAGCCACTGCTTTTTGACTGACAGCTGATTCTCTTTCTGTTACAGGATCATTGGGCGGGTCTCGGGGTAATCTCGTCCCAAAAGATATCTCATCGGCCTCGGCGCTACATCAGGTGGATGTCTCCACGCAGGTTAGTAACCCGATCATTATTTAATGTATCTGTTTCAGGACAGGTTTCTTTGCAGAATGTTCGGACTCACAAGACGCAAAGTGATCCACAAAATCCGTCCTTGGTCCTGCATCTTCCGTAAAAGTGCTAACCCATTAAGTCCTCGTATGGCCTTACCGTGGCGTCACCCCTCAGGCATAACCCGCTTCTATAGCCTCGTTATCTGAAGCTCAACAACCACTCCTTGGAAGCTATTAAGGCACGCCACCATACTGTGTTTATCCAGCCCCATTTATTGAGGCGTAGAAGGAAAATTGGTATGGCAGTGACATTTAAAAGTGACTTATGCCATGTGTATAGTCTTCATAAAAAAATTTCTCTGTATTTTCCTACGAGATGAAGTGAGATTATAAAGTAAAGTAAAGTAAAGTTTGTCCCACTTTACGCCATGTAGGCGTTTGGGGTGAGAGGAGGTATAGCTCCTCTCTTCCTTGACCTCGGCACTAGATGGGGGTGAGTGGTCAGCATCACGCCCCGG